GGAAAATTTAAGGAGTTATTATTATGTACGTTTAGATGATACAACCGGTAGGATACTTTTGCACGTTACTGTAACAGTGAAATGAGAGTCTCGATGGTTGGAAACCCACTGGGCCGAGGTCTCTTACACAGACGCTATAGTTGCTATGGCTCGTAAACATAAGGATTTGGATTTCGTTATTGTTAGTGGAGACGCATTGGCTTCACCAGCGATGAATTTCGAATTGATAGTTTATATGGGCGTAAGAAGAGATCATACTCACAAGTGGATATATTCTATGTTAATTCGTTCATAGGATGAATCAGTGATATTTGCTGCCACTACGGGAGGTGGTCGGAAAATGGCAGAAGATCTTGGAACACCATTCCTTGGATCCACCATACCTTTAGATCCTCGCATTGGTGAGTTAGTTAATCTAATGGTTGGATATTGTGTGCCTATAGGCAAATCATGTTACACTTAATACAGTATAATGACCACAAAGACGAAGTATCGATAATATCTGAATCTCGATATACCATAACGACTTGGCGCTCCTTTAATTTCTCGCAACTTAGAGAACAATTTATTCTATGGCAAAATATTTGCCCATCATAACGGTCTCATAAATGAAAAGTATATTAATTTAGTTGCCGCATTGTATGATCTTACTCTATTTAGAAAGTTGTTGACACGATTTCCAAATAATAGTATGTTGTCAACAGCACAATAATTAATAGATAATAACTTTCTCAGCACAAGCCCAACATATTGACACCAAACTATATTAATGTGGCAAACTTAAATTTTGCAGATATGATCACAATATACTGTACACTTATAGTAGACAAGTTGATAAAGAACAGAAAGTAACTTTTTGATATACCGACTGATGCAAATCAATTATATACGATCAACAAATTTATAGCATCATTTTTACAAGTATTGTAAATAACGTAATAAACGAAGCGAGCAGTACATGTGTATTAACCATGTAAACATGTGATTTGTAAATACGTAGTAACGTAGTAAATCGCGAACGGTTTGCATGAGAATTTCAAATAAGAAACAGTCAACATTAACTAAATTAAATGCTTTGCCTCCACTGCTACCTACCGAAAGCTACTGTAATGGTGGAGGAATTATACTTAATATATATTGTTTGCGCCGGATCAATAATATTATTGGTGCTAATATACGGTAAGTTGTAACAATTAATTACTGGTTATTACAACATATCTTGTCATTGATGTATGTCAGGTCGGAATCATAATAATACAATACTTTACTTAAATGCTCATTGAATGCATTCGGGTACTATTAATCTAAAAGTCCAGACGAGCCGACATTTTGGACTTGCATTTGTCTCGTGGGAAAGCGTCAGCTAGCTATGCAATGAATGTGACACATACTGTTGGTCGATGACACCTTCAGCTTAATGAGACGGACGCACATTGGCATGCCAACCTTTGTATATTAGCCGGCCACTTTCAGAAAATAAAATCATTTTATTTAATGTCATAAATATTGATGTAATAGAACAGCAAGTATCAGTTAATAGTGTGACGGTATTCGGTATCAACAAATATTTTCACTTAGTCCTATAATATTGTTACTTGGTTCTCCAATCTGACATACAACAGACGTGCTATGTCATCAAAACACTCGGAGTAAACCACATGAGATAAAAACCAGTTTTCGCTCTTATTATACACTGCCAACTTGTTGAAGAAGCTTTCCTTAGAAAAGGCATATTGCATTGTGCTATATAGTTGATGTTAATTACATCAATGGAATATTATAACTTCGTATTTTAGGTATATGTTTATCGTTATGCAAGACAATTAATCAATTTACTATGCATGTAAGACGATGATGATAGTCTTTGATATTCTCCAGTTAGCAATAAATAATTTTCATTTCTGTTACGTTTCGGAAGAGAGATTACGCATTTTTACTCTGTCATAAAACGCTTTTTTTTTTTTACGCATACGAAATCGGATTATAACTGGTTTATAAATATGTGTACGCAGGTACTCTAACTTGTTTGGTTTGTTTGTTTTTTTTTTGCGTAAATCAACACAACGTTAGTAAAACATAACACTGAAAATAGGTTTGTAGAATTTCCGAAGTTTGTTGAGAATGTCTTTTGAGACTTGTTACACTAATAGAATTTAAAGTACGTATAACATCGCATGGCATGAACGTGGAACAAACAACAAACAATGTCATGTCAATGTTGATACATACGTTCCCATCTGTGCCCCTATTCACCGCTATCTCCAATTGTTAAACATGTGAACAAATTAATATGCGCGTAGTGCAAAATGACATATACCAGTTTGCTTTTTATCAAGTTTTCATGATGAAAGTTAAACATCGTATATCTAGGTAAAAGGAATTCGTTGTCTGCCTCGATTGCACCAGTAAGAAACCACGTATGTACGCTATATAGACAAAACGCAGCCAGATTAGTAATTCTTTATATGAAATCTAATAAACACCAGACGTTGTTTGCTGTCCAAAGTTTGAATAGAGAAAGCATTAATTAAATGTCAATTTGTAAAATAGATGATTGGCAACAATAGTAATCAACGGCCAATTAATAATCCCCCTTCGGGACTTTGTGTCGTTCGTCAAACACTCCACACGAACGTTTGTATAGATTGCTTAGACAGTCGCCGTCTACCAATTACTGATATTCATAGACGTGATGGCTATTGCCTCCATCCAATCCGCTGCATGGTTGCGATCATTCTTTCGCGCGTTGATTGAGTGCCAGGCATGTAAAATAACAAAAACTATTTTACATGATAAATAAAATTTTTTACTTGTGGGAAAATTTTTACAAAGCAGACAGCGAAAAAATTAATCATTAATTTCAACAGCATATAAAAATGGATCTATGGCCTCTTCATCACTACTAGAATAATTTTTTTCTCCCCCAATTACGCTTCCCATACCCATACCCATACCCATACCCATTCCCGTCCCTGTTCCCATATCTATATTATCTTCTTCATCATTCTTCATATTCCACACTACATTAGTAAGAATGGATGAAAGTGGTCGGGTAACTGTCACATCAACGTCCAAATGTTTGCTAGGAGAACTGTCGCGTACATACAAAGGTAGTATCATCTCAGAATCTACTAATGGGCGGCGAGTCCGAGCTACTGGTGGCGGCTTTACTTTTGAATTATTGTTTTTGGTACTCGAGTCTCGCAGAAATTTGTCTTTTCGACGACGTTTGTCTTTTGGATATTTTTCGACAGATGGTGCGAAAGCTATAGGAATCAATCCGTCTAGTTCTTCGGAATCCAGATCATCTTCGGGCTCAGCCCTATTGGATTCTACTCGATTAAATAACCAAACATCGTCTGTGAGAAAGTTGGGTGGTACGGGTTTAAAAGGGCTGGGTTCAAAAGAGCTGGTTTCAAAAGGACTGGTTTCAAAAGGGCTGGGTTCAAAAGGGCTGCTGGGTTCAAAAGGGTTGTCTATCGTTTCCTGCTGCGGTGGTGACTGAGTATCAGTTTGACCTGATGACGATGCAAGTTGCTGTAGTTGATCAGTGGCAGATGACGATGATGGTTGCCATGAAAGGGATCGTTGCGAACGTTTCTCAGAGGTGGGTGTTGATGGCGTGGATTCTTGTATTGGCTGTAGCAAATGATTATTATTAATGGACACTGTTGCGGCTGTTGGTGGCTGAAAGTCTGGTAGAGCCATGATCCCCTCTTTCTCTGTGTAAACTTCATCTTTTTGGAATAATTTATATCTCTCGTTGCGAAGGAATGCATGTGCTTTCAACACTCCCCCCAGGTTAAGAAGCGTTATTGTCAGTGCATAAACCCACGCAGGCGGATCTCGCACTAATGTCACTAGACAGAATATTATTACCGGCGTATATTGTATGAACTGGACAAATATGTAATACGACATCTTTCTGGTCGCACGCGCAATAGTATCCGCTATTCTCTTTTGTTCGAACGTTGGTTCGTTCAATGAATCAAAGTTTTCTAATCTCGTCGGAGTCGGATGGACCAGTCCATCTTGCGATACCAATGATTTGGAAAAGTAAAAGGACATTCTCGATGACAAGACTGGAGCAAACACCGCTGATACTCTTTCGTATGTACGTGAACGTCTAAACGTTCCGTCAGACGTTTGGTTGCGATTCTGGATATTTGAAGCGCGTTGACGCCTCAATGCATCAGCAAAGGCAGTCGTGGTGAGCATTGGTTCTACGCGGTGGATTCGTTTAATTACCAATAGATAAGAAGCTGTCGTGATTCCTGTCACGACGTAGGCAATTACTATCGTTGATATTAGAATCCAGCGACTGCCGGGAGCAGTACGAGAAATGAAGCACCTGTGGGGGAGAAAGTGTCGAACAAGAATCAGTAATGTTATCTTACGGGTCTTTTTTTTTTCATACATTATTTACCTGTAAAAAACTAATATGCAAAAACGAACAGACATAATACAACAGCAAAACGCGCGTTATATGCATGGGTAGGAAACTGAGACACGCGCGAATACGTACCAAAATACATCAGGTCCAAAGGCACCAAAGCCCAATGCGATGAATCCAATCAATAGACTCGGAACCAACAGCTTTAGAAACAGTTTCCAATCCCCCACACCGAACGTGATGAGTGTTCCTTTGCACACTCGATGGTAGACGATAACAGCCACAACGGCCATCAAGAGCAGATTAATGTTGATTAGCAGCGATGTGAAAAAACCTATCACGACACAAGCGCCAGAAGGTATCAGCCTGTCGTGACTCATCGGGTATAATAGATTAGCAAGACAAACTAGGCCCGTGAGCGCATCCAACACTGCCATGTATGCAGGATATCTCTGGGTCGATGAGAGAAGACGGTTTTCCGATTTATGATAAGCTGCGATTAGAATAACGGAGCATCCAACGAGATTAACAAAGGCACTAATTGATCCGGCAACGTATATTGATGCGCTGCCTGTTGCGTCCAAAGAGCTTATGTTCGGGGTAGGCGGTTGTGAAGGAGGAGGAGGGCCAAAACTCATTTCTGGGAGATGGGTATTTGTTGCCTGTGCAGTGGATCCAGTATTAGTATTAGTGCCGGTGGCCGTTGGCGTGTTATGATCTGTCAAAGCTACCATTACTGTTGTCCTTGTCGTCTTTGTTACCGTTGGTGCCCCATCTGCTGATAATTTTCCAGTCCCTTTTGTTGGAGTAGTAGTAGTTTTTGCTGCTGTCGTTTTCGTTGGCATTTTGCCTGTGGAGTCTGTAGCCACAACATTGTAGGTAGGAGTTCTATATTTGCTATACGTTGATGTAATTGTCTTTGTTTGAAGTTTTCGCGCATGCCCTGCAGTCGCTAATAAAATCACAATAAAGAATAATAAAAGATATTTTATTCTCCGATGCTGATTAATGCTCAACATAATACCGGAGGGGGTTCAGCCTGATAAAAGCTACTTCTCTATCGAAGTAAGTAGATTAGTCGCTTCATAAATAATAATTATCATAAGTCAATCGAATCGGTTCGCTCGTCTAGAGCTGGATCGAATAGCATTAATAATTAACCCGAGGGATGAAGCGAAAGCAAACTCGGCAGGAGGGAGGAATGGAATATATACTGGCAAGGCATTGCCTCCACGTTGTCGGACTAAATTTGACCGAGTTTTGCCTGGGTGAAAAGCTTTTATACCAAATTGATTAATTTATACAATATTAATATGCACGGAAATTGATCGGGGAAAAAGTTACAAAATGTGTGACTACGCATTTCTCATACTCGATTTAGTTGTATGACAAAAGACAATAATTTAATCATTTGTTAAAGGTAATAAATATATCGATCGAGTCAGAAGCGTTTATTAATTTCACCACCATAATTTCCACATTGGTCAGTAACTCAATTTTACTTGTACAAAACCTTATGCGGACCGCACAAAGCACAAGGAATGGTCTGCACGAATAAGACGTAAAAGAGTGTGTCTTTTTGATCGTAACGTAGTTGATGTGTGATGAGATTACTCGCTAATGCCATCCACCGCACCGCACCGTTTTGGCTTGCACGATGGTAAGCAGATATGTAAAGCTCGGATATTCGTATCCACAATAAACAATTCGTTTCAGAACAAAAAGTCCTGTCCATCTATCTCATGAGGACATGAAACTTGTCAAGTGACGAACCGCCAAGGCGTTAACTATTTTGAGGGGAGCTATCTTTAGAAGAAGAGAGCCTTACATTGCCTTCTCTATTAATAACAAGTTAATAAAACGACCTTTGTTTCAGTTATACTGTTATAGTAAATTTTGTGAAATACTTCTTATTAGTTCAATGAGTGAATGAATAACTCTTTGGTCAGATTACGGCTGACTAAGTAATAATTACACTTAAAAAGTGTACATTAAATTAAGATAACAGACAATCGAAAGAGAAACCGTATTGAACTAACTGTGTATGGTCAAAGAAAAGAAGAAAACCGCATCATCCTCACAATCAATCAATGGATTGCGGGGAAAGAGAAAGGGACAGTGTCGTTTTAAAAGATCCGAGCCAATCGCACATTACACATGCTTTTCGCTAGATAGGCATAGTCAGGTGGGGTAGGTGCGGTGTGGGTTGGATGGAAGGAAGGAGGACTTTTTTCGTTTTAGAAGTTTCGAACCAATCAAGCATCCCATGTAATACTACATATATGAAATTTATGTATAGCGCACACACTTGTACACCGCACGGAAGTCTCAGTTAGGCTATTGACCGAAATGCTATGACTAGTCAGCTAAGATTGCTCCGCCAATCAAATCTTACACTAATTAATTCAAAACGTCGCATTCCATATCATGGTTTTCTAATACGATTTCGATAAAAGAATCCAATGCCCATCGAACCCTTCCAACCCTCCACATTCTTTATCGCAAGCCCAATATTAATATTGTGCTAGTTCGCGGAAAACTCTCCGCTGTGTTAGTGTTAGTAGACAAAGCATCAAAGTAGGACCATGTTTATTGTGTGGTACTCGAAAGTTAATATTTGACACTTTCACTCTTTATGAGCTATTTTTATAACTGCCACATTATTAATTGTTTAATAGTTATTATGAATCTTTGAACCACGAGCCATCATAATTAATGAAAAAGTCGGTTTTTAATTTAGGATAATAGAGAGGATTGCGCCCTTTGGTATGGAAGGAGGGAAGCAAATCAAGTAAAGTAGATAGACCAAGTAATAAGTTGAATAGACTTTGGTGCCATTTCATCCATATTAACGGCATTTTATCGTGGAAAGGAAAGACCTTGTGCAATGTTTGCTAAGCATAACAAATGACAAATCTGGCATTTCGTGGAAAATATGATACTGTTGCATGCATATCAGTGGAACTCTGATAGGTATGACCCTTCCCCCGCGTCAATATTTTGATTGGGGAACCTGACATTAAAAGGCCCCACGATTTTAACTAGCATGCAGATAGGTAACCCCCAACCATCGGTTAATTAAAAAGTCTAAATTTGCGAAAAGATTCAAGGTAGAAACACTTGGTTTTTTCAAGTAATTACTGCGATTACTGATTCCCATAATTAATATCAATTTCTGAAACCTGATCGTTTATCGGGTATGACTTTCAAAAACTCGTGTCTCGCATACAAATTAGGTGTAAAGACCCCTTTTCCCCAATATGCGGAACCAATGCGATCGTTCGGTTCCCTATTACTATAGTTAAACTAATTTAATTACTGGCTCGATTAACTGTTTTGCTTATCCTTAAAGTATTTTGTTGTTTTTATATCCTCTCGTCCTAGGAAAGAATTCATTGGATTTTCCCCGATTGCCATCAATCTACACAAACCGGTTTTTACTTAATGAAGTCACACAATTACAGCTAGTACGTATTTTGTGTTATCGATTGTGGAAAAAATACTAATACCACCTCCTTTCACAGTTTGATGGCCGATATTGTTTTGTTCACAATAGAATGGACGAGTTTCATGTGCAATACGCAATAACATACAAGGAGAAAAATATTTGGGCATAATTTAGTTTTTTGCCATGTAATATAAGCTTATGACCTAAATCACCGAATAACGTGTATGAAATTGTCAATTCCTCGTCTGATGTTTGTAAGCAAGCGGGGGTTTAATGGTTGAAAACCGGAGCTAAAAATATTCATTGTGATCAACCGTCGATGATTTATATATATTGTCTAGCCTAAGACATTTATTTTTATATTTGAGTTTGCAGCTCATATTTTTTTTCATGCATCGAAGAGAACGATCAAATGACTAATAGCAAGTGTCCGATTCCGCGTGTAAACAAGAGTTGCAATGACGCATTCTATGTGACTGTGTATCTGTGCAACACGTCAAATAGTCTTGGAAATGTTAGTCAGGATTCTCAAACAATGCTCTTGATTATGACCTTGTACATATAAGTGGTTGTTGTACATTCACATCCGACACAGGTTTCTTCTAAACAATCCCTTACAATATATTGTTAACTTCAGTACAGGGGGTGTAATTTGCTCACATGATACTACTAGTTCGCATTTGCATATTACTTATTTCGCAAGCAGTTTGATAGCCAGCCGTACATGTGGAACTGACTGCTCTTTGCATTTTGAGCCTAATGCTAATGTGTCAAGGGGGTGTTGGAATTACTATAAACAATGTAAGTAATACATTAAGTAATCATTATATGAAATCAATGAACTATTCTTTTCAATAAATGTAGGCGAAACAATTTATTGACGATTATATCACAACACTATCAAACATTACACTATATTACACTTGATACTATGTATGTACAAATATTATAGAATAACATCGACATATAACCATTTCTTGTATACAATATCATCTATAATAATCCAACTCACACATCAATTCAATCATGCAAGTCAATACGATCGTAATGACTCGAATGACAAAAAGCACATTCTCGAACCGAGAACGAAAATTACAAATCATGTCACTGGTTGATTTTTCAGCCACATCCACCGCTTCTCGTCAACTGGTGACGGCGGCCTCCCGACAAAATAAGCATCCCTTAACACCTCCTCGATAGTTGGCCTGTTGTTGGGATCTCTCTCCAACATCTTCAACAGCAAATCTTCCACAAGCTGATCATGACAATTGTAACCAACATACTCTTCAATGGGTATGCGTGGAAAAGCTTCTTCCGACTCGTACAGCTTCATTTTCGAAACAATATTGTACAAAATACATCCAAGTGAGAAGACATCTTGTGCATATGTGGCTCTGATATCGCCTCTAGTTGATACTAATTCGGGTGACCCGAAACCCGGTGTGATGCAATATCCATTACTCACTTCGTCAGTACGATATATGTGTGAGTCAACCTTGCGGGCATGGGAAAACCCACAGATGCGTATCTTTAAGCTACCGTCCTCTTTTAAGAGAATATTTGATGGTTCGAGATTGAGATGCTAATGGAATTGATATAAGTATTTGCAATGCTTGAGTAATCCAATCAAGTAACAAGAAAAAAAAAAGAACGCCAGATTTAAAGCACAGCGTTTTTAACAAGCATACTAACCACTATCTCCTCCGAATGAATAAACTGCACCGCCTGGCATATATTCTTGAACAATTCTCTCTGAGATTGAGTATCTCGTAATGATCTTAGTCTTTGTAACTCCTTCTCCAAGTTTTCCCCGTAATTCACTGTTACGGTGAAATAAAGATCGTACTTCTTGTCAGTATCCGCATCAGCCAGCTTCACCACATGTTTCCCTTTAAGTTTCACAAGCAAATCTGTTTCATCGATCCATGCCTTTTGCACGGAAAATATTTTGACAACAAAGGTATCCTTTGTTCGAAGGTGTTCTCCCAAGTAAAGAGGATGGCTCGAGTTCAACACGTCCAGTCGCCATTTCAACAGATATCGTTTGCGGAAGATGGTGTTTGACGGAGGGAGTTCGAACACATTTTCTTGAGGGGATTGCAGGGCACTCGGTATTCGGTTCGATTGCGGGTATGTAAAATCTATCAGAGACGGGCATCCTTTTCGACAGAATTGCAGGGTACCCGGTATTCGGCTCGATTGCGGGAATGCATCTGGCAGGATCCCGTTAAATGATATGTCGTTCGAAGCTGACCAGGTGATCTGACTATTATTTGAGCGAGTAGATGTTGATCTCCCCGAACTAATCAGGTTATCGATTTCTGGTAGTGAGGTCGAAAGAGGTGTCGGAATCAGTTCCTGTGGTACGAAAATTTGATTATTATGATAATACAAACGAGAAGTAAAGTTGTAGTTTTACAAGCATACCGCTGGCGATTCTTTGGGCGTTACTGGGATAGGGCTACTGCCACAGAGGTCTCTGAATTTAAGCAAACCGTGGCAACTGATGGTAAAGCTAAGCATACCCCTTCTGTTCCTATTCTCCATGAGGGGCTCTTTAACTAGGTAACGTTATAAGAAAAATCCTTAGATGAAACGAGCAATCACAGCGGAGATGGAGGACCTTGAATTCTATACTTGGAAATTTTAATCAAAAGTTCGTTCTTTTCAAACGATAGTTACCTTCGAATTTCTGTCCAATAGTTAACTTTTGCCATATCGCCTGACTAGTCAACTCTACGCTCGTTTTAGCGGTCCATCTTCTATGCAGTGCCCATATTTCTAACTTTATTTCTGGTTTCACATGAAGCTCTAATGGTATTGCGTATTCCGATTCGCCCATAGAAGTTATGTAGTAATTTAGTGTGGAATGCACTGCGGGTTTGTTAATGATCCATTCTAGATGAGCTCTGAACTTGTCGGCCAGTGTGCTACGAAAGAAGAAAAGAAGAAACACAAAGTATTAGTATTGTGTATAACAATTCAACTATTGGTCTCAATTTACTATCAGAATTATACTTTGAAATCACAAGTTACCATGTGACATTATCAATAAGAAAATACCCAATATGACGTCCGAATATTTCTCTATTATAAATGGCTTTATCCAAGTCATTAGGCGGTCCGGGTGAAAGCAAGAATACATTGAACGATAACTGCCCGATCTTGGACCTGTCACCGATTCTCAACAATGACACAACTATTGCAGATATCGAGAAAAGGAAACAACCCAGGTCAGATTTTATACAGTAAATCGAAGAATTGTCTTAACAACAAGCCGTCATCATACATTTATGTTGGATTTCACCATAATCCGATAAGTCGATAGCTCCTTCGCCAATAATGGCAGCAATACCAACGCCATCCGGATCAGTGCATTTGAAGGATATCTTCAACGGACCCGTACAGCGCACATCAAAGATGATGTGTTCCGCATACGTTACGCGTCCTCTATTATCACTGTACATTGCATCATATTAGTGGTTATTTGACAGTGCGTGCGTGCGTGCATGCAGTATAGCTAAAATAACTAATTGTTGCTTTCCTTACACATTGGTAGTTGTTGTCCATTTGGATACGTCATGTGTAGAGGACAGCCTATGTGCTAACGTAAGCATTAAGAAGACTGTTCTTTTCCTGGGCAATCCAAAGAATCTAGACCTAGGAGTCAATGCGTTTTCAAACATGCTACAACGACAATTTAGATATATAGTCATTAGATATGCGTCACATATGCTTATTCGGGGGAATTTCCAATTCATGCAGTTCTTACATTCTGATATCCTTAACGACCACTTTAGCAACAATATCGCCATCATCGTAGTCCACCATTATTAATTTAGCGTTGGTGGGATGGTCTCCCTCGAAGGGACGATGCCGATGGTAAAAGAAAGTTTTACGTACGGATAGTTTACAAAAATGAACCTCTATTTCTATAACCTATGAAACATCGATTGATATGATGGTATTATCGATTAATACGATGGTATTGACGCATAATGATATTACTATGTTATTAGAGGAATTTACCTGCCAACCCGACACACGTCGTACAGTCCATAATATTAATATGGGGTGGGCATCTGAGCGTCCAATGAAAGGATAATATTGAGCCTGTACGACCTGGCAGGTAAATTCCCGATTAGGGATCTACCCAGATCTTGCCCAGTAAATCGGATCGGAAAGATAAACTTATACTATTCACGCGGATGAAGATCTAAGCGGGGTAGCTCTTTCAACATTCACCTTTCAACCTCCGATATTAACATTAAGAGATAATCAGAACATTATTCGTTTCATTGCAAATGCGGTAAGCCTTGTTTGTCTTTATTAATTAGGACACACACCAGATTGAACATTTCAAATTAGATTGCACGGTCCCAGTTTGGATGTTTTCGTTCTTAATTAAGGATTACGCTTCTGCTCCCATGCAAAGTGCAGATCTCTCTCCGTAGTTACGATGCGTGTTATTTATTTGCTATGTTTTATACACAATGTCCATTGCCAATTTAGCGTTGTACAATATCAGTTGGCCATTCTGATGAATCATACTCAGCATACCATAACTTTATTTATCTATGCCCAACCGAATTCAAACAGTGATTGCCGCAATACAAACATTGACAATAACTTTAAATAAATTAATTACCATTTTAATATCTTTGAAATAAAAGCGTGCAATATGAAATTCTCACCCTTCACCCAATGCATACAAATATTGAACAAATATTTAATAGACAAACACATCATCTTCTACTGTTTTATATGTTGGTATTCAACCATGTATAGGCTATCGACTCTTGCCTATTTCTTTAGTTTAAATAGTTTGTCTCCTATGCACTGTGAGCAGTCAGTTGCTCATATCCGGCAACTTGGTGACTATATTACAATGCTTTCTAGCGTCATCGCATTCTCGGGGGTAAACATCGTCGGATATTCTTTAATTAGCTATTTGAGTAAACAATTAAATCATGCAAAGCATACTTGAATAACATTTGTATAATTTTTTTTACACGTAAAAACTGATAAAAATTAAACGAACTGAGTATCAAATATCTCACTCTCTTTAAGCTATACTCATAAGTGGATAAATGATAGAACCTGATGTTTTTCAATTACTTTAATTACGATCATGTATATTGAACAAAATATTTTCTCTAAAAACACATCGAAGAATGGAATAGTAAAGTGATTTTTTTACTAAGATTATAATTGGTGTTTTATCCTTCGGATACCTGTTTTCCCGTTGACCTCATTATAAAATCAATAAAATAATGGCTTATAAAGCTGAAAATTGACCTTCACCTTACATAATTTGATTAAATTTTCATTGTTCAGTAAACTAAACAAATGTGTACTAACGATATCAAGTTGATTATGCTATGACACAATATTTATCATAAGCATGAACAATTGTCATAAACTCAAGATTGGCGATGTTACTTGCATTTCATAACCACTAATGTATATCAGCCGTTAATATGACCGCGCGTTCTGAATATAACACAAACTTGTGGTGACTACAAGGGGGGAATTTTTCATATTGTGCAATAGTAATGGGATTCATCAGGTGACTGTGACCATAATGCGATTGTGACTGTAAAGGAGGTAAATCACTATGAAGATGACTGGGACTGGAACAGCCTGTGACTGTATAGTAATAGTGACTGTAAAGGAGGTCAACTATACATCATAATTAATATTAGTCCTCATAACAAGTACACTTCCTCTCTTCCATGAACATATTTAATATTCTCCATATTCATGAAGATTTCTTTTATTAACCAAAACTTGGCCAATACTAAAATTATTATGCAATGTGTAAATAGCCGATTTTGCTATTTCCTACGGAATTATTTTGGATCCTGATGAAAACTCATGTATTCTGCAGCGCTCTTGTATAACTTAGATTTCGAACACCAACTTGATCACTTGATCATAGATAGTGATAATTCGCGAGTAGACGTCTGGGAGGGAAACTGAGCACTAGAGTGATGATTTCGAATGGTGATATAAAATTCATTATATAAACGGCCTTTCTCCCAGGCGGAAAAGTAAGTCGGTTACTGCTGAGGGTAAGCTGAAGTGGAACTACTTCCCTGGGGGTGGCTTCATCTCTTGTATTAATAAAATATTAATATCCGTTATTGATTATTGGAATGTTGTATTATTTTATTCTCTACCGATACTTTGATGTAAGAATTCCCTGTGACTAATAAGACATGTTACGAAATAATTGTTTCGTTATAAAATCATTGCGATTAATAAGCAGGGCATGAGAAGTATTCGACTATTATATTATTCTCTGAATTGACACTTTGCATATAAGTTCTTCGCGATTAATAACTGATAAGACAAGTAGCAGAGATCCGTCCTGGATTTTGTAAGAACCCAAGCATTGTTCGAAAAACGGAAGGAGGAAAGTAATACCAAGGCATCTACTCATCATATCGATGCTTTGTTGTAATATCTTAGCGACTAATAAGGGAAGCGTGAGAAGCGTTTAGTTTAGAAAGATTGCGATCACAAGACCTTATGTTTAATACAGAAATATTATTGTTACTGATTAAAAAACTCATCTATTGCCGTTTGTTTCATCAAATTCATTGATTTTAAACTAATGTAACGATCTAGTGCATTAATATGTTTTAATAATTCTTTAGAATCTTGCTGTTGCAGAAAAGAACGAACAACCTCCAAATTGTTTGTAACATCGCTGCAATTTACAATCGATAATTCAACACTATCATCAGCTTCACTATCGTCAGCTTCGCTGTCATCAACAGCATGCACACCTGACGATTCTCTGTATATTTCAACAAGATCTTCGATAAATTTGTCATTATCGGGTACTTTGTAAATGTTGTCTTTTTCTGGATTATTCAATCAGTTAATATTACACGTAAGTTTTGCATTCGGTTGGGTAAGTTCGGCGTTGAGTATTTCTTCGCTTTTTTTTAAAATCCTTGTTATAGTCGAGTCATCCACTCGAATTTCCCATTGCCTTTCGATCCAATTGACATATTCTTTTCTCGTTAATTTATCGTTTTGACGAGCATATAATAATAAACAGAACTCATGCTTTTGAGATTCAGATAAGTAGACTCTAGTTCTCGGCATTTTGTTTGAAGATGTTTAATATTATGTGTTAGTGAAATGGATGTCAATGTTTGTGTAGTGGGACTTGGGTATGGTATCGACTCATCAACTTATATATCTTGTGACAAGCGCTGTATCAATTTAACAAAGACGTTTTAGATGTTTAATAATTCAGCTATTGCCTATCACCTTTTATGCATTGATGTCCTAAACGGTGACTCTTACAAAGTCAATAAAGATTTCAGTTAATTTAAGTATCTATATTAATGATGACTTTTTATTAACAATGACGATTTTAACGAAGACGTTTTAAATTTCGACACTATTACAAAGTCTAGTATTTGTATTAATGACAACAAAGATAACTTCTAATATTAACAAAGACATTAAACAATGTTTCTGTTTCTTTATTCTTATCCATACATAAAGACAAAGCAACATCTACATCATGATTTACTTAGAAGCCAATAATAATAAAGATTTCTCTGTAACAAACGCATATTAATATTAGTAAAAAGATCAGCTGCATTGTCTTTGTATAGACTGATCGTCATATCTTTGACCATTTCAAACCATTATGTAACATAAATTGTTATACAAATCACATGAAAATCACGGGTATGCATGTATAGAGGGTGAAACTCATATAGTGGGAATCAAAAAAACTATGGAATGCAGAATATGGAGGGTGCTTGAATGGAGAGTTCACTGTACCTTGTTATGTCACTTTATTATCTGCAAAAGTTGTCTTTTATTCAACATGCCTATAATAGCAGACAAAAATCAATTGTGTATGCTCACTATTGATTTATTGTGTACTGTTCTAATATCTACTACAGTGCATTGCATACATGTCAATATTCAATTTGATAATCTGTTGTGTTCCTAATAATAGTCTAACAGCATCTTCTTGTTCAACAGCTATTGAATTATTATAGCAAATGCTGAAGATTATATTGTGCCCTGGCATGCCCTTGTTCAGCTGCTTTCTGATACAACTCAGCTGCTTTTTGAATATTTTTTTCTACTCCTGTCCCATTCTGATAACATGCACCAAGACTGTATTGTGCCTTGACATGCCCTTGTTTAGCTGCTCTCTGATATAGCTCAACTGCTTTTTGAATATTCTTTTCTACCCCTGTCCCATTCTGATAACATGCACCAAGATTGTATTGTGCCTTGACATGCCCTTTTTCAGCTGCTTTCTGATATAGCTCAACTGCTTTTTGAATATTCTTTTCCACCCCAGTCCCATTATTATAGCAGACACCAAGATAATATTGTGCCTTGGCATGCCCTTGTTTAGATGCTTTCTGATACAACTCAGCTGCTTTTTGAATATTTTTTTCCACACCTGTCCCATTATTATAACAAACACCAAGATTATATTGTGCATTGACATTTCCTTGTTCAACTGCTTTCTGATACAACTCAACTGCTTTTTGAATATTTTTTTTCACCCCTGTCCCATTACTATAGCAAATGCCAAGATTATATTGTGCATCAGCATCTCCTTGTTCAGCAGCTTTCTGATACAGCTCAACTGCTTTTTGAATGTTCTTTTCCATTCCTGTCCCATTGTTATAGCAAACACCAAGATTACATTGTGCCCTCACATGTCCTTGTTCAGCAGCTTTCTGATACAGTTTAACTGCTTGTTGAATATTCTTTTCCACTCCTATCCCATTCTGATAACATACACCAAGCTTATATTGTGCATCAGTATCTCCTTG